GAGCCTGCTTCGTATTCTGTGTGTGTGTGTGTGTGTCTCTCTCTGCCCTTCCCTTCCCCTCTTTCAAAAATAAAAAAAAACATTTAAAAAAAATGTAAAAATGGGCAAGAATCTGAACAAACATTTCTCCAAAGTCAACATACAAATAGCCTTAAGCACATGTAAACGTGCTCAATATCCTTAGCCATCAGGAAAATGCATATGAAAACCACAATCATACTTTACAACCCAATAGGATGGCTACAAAAAAGACAGGTAATACAAGTGCTGACAAAGGTGTAGAAAAATTGGATCCTCATACACTGCTGGTAGGAGTATATGAAGCAGTCACTGTGGAAAAGTCTGGCAGTTCCTCAGAAGGTTAAACATAGAGTTTCTGTATGACCTAGCAATTCCACCTATAGGTATATATTCAAAAAAAATGAAAAAACATTCACACAAAAACCTGTATGCAAATGTTCATAGCAATATTACTCATAATAGCAAAAAACAGAAATAACCAAATGTCTTATCAACTGATGAATGGATAAATCCATATAATGGATTATTATTTGGCCATGAAAAGGAATTAAAAATGCTACAACACAGATGAGCCTGGAAAACATTATACTAATCAAAGGAAATCAAGCACAAAGGATGACATGTTGTATACTTCCACTATGTGAAATGCTAAGAATAGGCAAATCTATAGACAACACAAACTAATGGATGCCTAAGGCTAGGGAAAGTGGAGGGGTTTGGGGGATAATGGCTAAAAGGCATAGAGTTTCTTTCTGGGTGATGAAAATGTTTTAAAATTGACTATGGTGGTGGTCTCACAACTTTACGATACACTAAAAACCATTGAACTATACACTTTAAATGAGTGATTGTATGATACGTTAATTATATCTCAATAAAGCAGTTAGAAAACAACAAAATCCTTACGTTTTTTGGTTACACTCTATCACATTTCTCAGGGAAAATATGGCTACTTTATAGTCTTCATAAAGGCCTTGGGATATATACCTGCAAACAGAAATTCTTTTTTTGTCCCCACCCCAGAAATTCTTTAAAGGAGGCAAAAATAAGGAAGGTGGAACAAAAAAGGAAATCTTCATAACTGGATAATTACCATGTGTGACATTACCATTTTACCTGATTCTTATATTTTGAACAGTAATTTTTCCTACCCATGTCACATTTGTCTTCTTTAATCACTTCAAGAAACTAAAGAATGCCAAGCTTAATACAAAATGTTCTACTGATTTTACTTATTGATTTCTTTATTTCAAATTTGACCAATTCCTTTTTTTTTTTTTTTTTTTTTTTTTTTTTTTTTTTTTTTAAATTTTTTTTCAACGTTTATTTATTTTGGGGACAGAGAGAGACAGAGCATGAACGGGGGAGGGGCAGAGAGAGAGGGAGACACAGAATCGGAAACAGGCTCCAGGCTCCGAGCCATCAGCCCAGAGCCCGACGCGGGGCTCGAACTCACGGATTGCGAGATCGTGACCTGGCTGAAGTCGGACGCTTAACCGACTGCGCCACCCAGGCGCCCGACCAATTCCTTTTATAAATATTTATTTTATAGAGATTATGTGAGGATTCACAATATCACAGTAAGATGGCTAAAACAATGCTGATATTCAGTTAACTATTCCCCTTGTCATTATGCTACAGGCCATGGAGGATCCTAAAGCTGATGAGAGGGACGCTGCGGTGGCTCAGTCAGTTAAGAGGGACGCTGCGGTGGCTCAGTCAGTTAAGAGTCCAACTTTGGCTCAGATCATGATTCCTCACTTCATCAGTTTGAGTCCCACGTCAGGCTCTGTGCTAACAGCTCAGAGCCTGGAGACTATTTTGAAATCTGTGTGTCCCTCTCTCTCTCTCTGCCCCTCCCCAACTTGCGCGCATGCGTGCGCACACAAACTCTCTCTCTCTCTCTCTCTCAAAAATAAACACTAAAAAAAATAAAGTTGATGAGCAAAACACTGCAAAGGTGGGGGAACACAAAGGCTCTACCCTGCAAAGGTACAGTCATGTCAAGGAAAGGAAACTTCTGGCAGATAATGCAAAACCAAACAAAACTGCAGCAGCAGCAGCATGATCATCACCACCATTACCATCATCACCATCATCACCCAACACCACTCGCCTCCTACAGTATCTATTTATATGCCTTCAATTTTTTTTTAATTATAAATCGTTTAAACATATGGAAATAACCCCAAGCCCAGTTAATAGCACATCTTATCATTTTCCCCCAGGTATCAAATGATTAAAAAAAAATACGAAATGTAAGATACCACAGATCCATTTTCACTTCCTCTCTCCCTTATGGTAAGCCCTATCTTGCAACGTGATGTTAATCATCACTATGCATGTTTTTCTAACTGTAACTACAGGTATCTGTGAACAAAGCAGAGTATTGTTCCTGCATGTTTTCAAACTTTACCAGATGGCATACTGGTCTGCACCTTGCTTTCTTAGCTCAACATTTTCCTTGTTTGTTGTTTTTTTAATTCAGTGATGTTGTTTCAGGGAGCTCTAGTCTGTTCACGAAAACTGCTGGTCGGTATTATATTCCTTGAATGTTTCAATATATTCGCCCGCAGCTGTTTCTAATTTTGTTACTAAGAAGCTACAATAAACATGACTCCTTGAGGACATGTATTAGTTTCTAAGACACATTCCTAGAAGAACTGCTAGGTCAAAGGATATATACCTTCAACTTCATTAGGAAGTCATGGAGTTTATCTCCTTTTTACACTTCAACCAGTAGTGTAGGAGAGTTCCTGTTTCTCCCCGTCTTCACCAATTCTTTTTTTTTTCATCTTCACCAATTCTTGCAAACTGAAGGGTATGAAGTGGTACCTCATTGGTTTATTCTTTCCTGATCAGTAAGATTAAGTATCATTCATTGGCCTTTCAGGTTTCCGCTCATGGGACACCTTTAATAGTACTGCCATTTTTCTATTGCTTTGTGGTAGTTCTTAAGATAGTCTGGGTACCAATCCTTTATTGATTATGTGTTTCTGATACTCTTCCCTAACCCCAAAAAAGTATAAGCCTTTTGCTTATTTCGAAATCTAGTAAAGTATAGGAGCAAAGACAACTACTTCCTTCTCAGAGTTCAGCTATTTTCCAGACCTTTTTATCTTATGTTTCTCAAACCTTTCTGGTCACTCACAGAAGATGAATTCCTCCCTGAGCACCAATACAGAGACACACATATGAACTGAAAAACCTCACTCCAAGGTCCATTTCTCTTAAGAGATTAACCACAAGCAAATAGACAAGAAAAGGACAGTTTCCATTCCCTGTAGCCAATGTCACATTTTAGCTCTCATATTAATACATCACATCATACAGCTTTCATATAGGTCAGTAAACAAGCATCCATTTTGATTAATAATGGCTGTTAAAACCCCTAATTAATAAATAACCAGCATATCGATACATGAGAATGTCTGAAGCAGTAAGGAGAAGCGCACATTCTTTCTACGCAATGAATTAAGAATTACGGTTAAAACCCAGACTCTAAGCAAATGATTTAGTCTCACTGACAATCAGTTCTTACAGATAAAGTCGCTCTGCAGAAGTGAAATGATTCTGAGTGTTTTAGCGAGAGCAGACTACTGCTCAAAAAAGTTAACTTCATTTACAGGACTGATGTTTTGCAAAACAAACATGCTGCCCTGAAAGTACATAATCACGGAGCAAGAAAAGACTTTAGATGACTCAATGTAACTCCCTCATTTTCAGGTGAGGCAACCGCAATCCAGAAATTAATAATAAATTCACCGAATGCTAGTCCTCTAAAATCTACAAATTCAGGGTTCCTTCACTGCATCAGGCATGGATGCAATTTCACATTCCCCAATTCTAAAATTCCGATTCCTCTATTAATTTTTCAAGACTGAGTTGATGTGTTATAGAAATGATGGAATTAACTCCCATCCTCACGCCAATCTTTTCCTTTCCACTTCCTTTTTCACCCTTACCCTCCATTATAACCCACAGAATGAAAAAGATACCTGACTGCCTGAATTTCTGGCCCTAATTAGAGGCAGAGTCCTGGCTACGGCCTCTGTGTTAAATCAGAAGGAGTTGTGTTTTGTTTTGATCCTTCATTCCTTATGCAACAATACCTACTAACCGCAGGTTCTGCGGGAAGCGCAGTGCACGCCGCTCCTCCTAGCCGGCGGACCACCGACGCCAGGAAGCCGGGCACGCTGGGTAGGGCGGTGCCGAGCAGCGGGGAGCTGGGGTCGCTGGGGAAGTGGAGCTCGCGGGGAGGGGGGTCCCGGCGGCACCAGGGAACAGGCCGGGTGGCGGGGCGACTCACCTTTACGCAGCTCCCGCTCCCACACGGTGACGATGGGCCGGGAGTGCTTGCGGTGGTGGATGAGCCACAGGGACAAGGTCTGCACGCTCTGCTGCGAGTTGCTCAACTCCGACAGCTTCTTCTCCAGCGCCGCCTCAGAGAAGGCTGACATCCCTCCGACACCGCGTTCACGCCGTCCCACGCGGTGGGGCTGAGGGGAGGAGAGTTTCGCCGCCCGCGCCGCGGCCTCGCCCCCTCACCCCACCCTTCCCCACGCCCTCACCACTGCTGCCGCCACATCCAAGACCGGCCGCAAACCAGCAAGATGGCGTCCGGCCGGCAGTGACGTCACGGCCGACCCACGCCCCGCCCTCGGAAGAGGCGAGGCCAAGCGGCAGGTCCTCTGAGCGGAAGGGCGGGGCCAAAACTGGCGCACTGGAGGCATGTGGGGGCGTGTCGCTTGGGCCAGGCTGGGGCGGAGTGGGGTTTGCCCAGTCTGGAACCCTCGTAGGTTAAAACTGTCTGCCAAGAAAGGAGTGATTAAAAATATCTACATAGGCGTGTGAATTGGCATAGCCAATTTGGAAGACTATTTGGCGTGATAATTACATTTTAAAATTACAATTTCCCTGTGACCCTGCACTTTCGCTAATTGCCCTCAGTGCTAGGGAAATCGCATGCTTGCCCAAGGAGCTGTATGCTAGTTTCTTGTCAGGCTTACTAACCCTAAAGAGATGGGACATTCACAACAGATAGATGGCTAAAAATTGTAATACTGCATATTACAGAGTACATGCAGCAGTTCAAAAGATTAATAAATCCAGTGGTGAATTGGAGGGTTTTGTTTTTTTTTTAAGTTCCTGGGGGAAAATACAGTATAACATTTGTTTTTTTAATATAAAATTGTACATTTTATATGAATTCATAAGTATGTAAATGCAGGGCAAAAAGTCTGGAAGAATATACACTACATTAATAGTGGTGTCGGGCGCCTGGGTGGCTTGGTCGGTTAAGCGTCCGAGTTCGGCTCAGGTCATGATCTCACGGTCGGTGAATTCGAGCCCGCGTCGGGCTCTGTGCTGACAGCTCAGAGCCTGGAGCCTGTTTCAGATTCTGTGTCTCCCTCTCTCTCTCTGTCCCTCCCCTGTTCATGCTCTGTCTCTCTCTGTCTCAAAAATAAATAAACGTTAAAAAAAAAAATTTTTTTTTTAAATAGTGGTGTCAAAGGGAGGATCAGAATCGGAGTCCTTAAGCTATGTTTCTATTGTTTTCATTTTTTTACAAGAATGGTTTCACATATTCCTTGTATAATTAAAAACTGATTTCAGAAATCCCATAATGGGGCGCCTGGGTGGCTCAGTTGGTTGAGTGTCCAACTTCAGCTCAGGTCATGATCTCACAGCTTGTGAGATCAAGCCCCTTGTCGGGTTCTGTGCTGACAGCTCAGAGCCTGGAGCCTGTTTCAGATTCTGTGTCTCCCTCTCTCTGACCATCCCCCGTTCATGCTCTGTCTCTCTCTGTCTCAAAAATAAATAAACGTTAAAAAAAAATTAAAAATAAATAAATAAATAAATGTAAAAAAATTTAAAAAAAGAAATCCCATAATTAATCTAGCATTTTGACATATGACAAATGACATGATGTGTGACAAATCCATACGTTTTGACATAGTACTACAATAGTTCACAAAAGAAACAGGTACTGTCACATTCTAAACATTAATACAAACTTCTAGAAAGATACATAAAAAAACACAGGAATTCTTATCTTTTGAGAAGCAGTGTTCAAGAATTTTGCACCAACTGGGCATCAAATACGTTTTTTGTTTGTTTGATCGTAAGTGTAGTTTATCTTTCCCATTAAAAAAAAATAGCATTTATTTTTGAGAGACAGAGACAGAGCACAAGTTGGGGAGGGGGAGAGAGAGAGGGAGACACAGAATATGAGGCAGGCTCCAGTCTCTGAGCTGTCAGCACAGAGCCCAACGCGGGGCTCAAACCCAGGAACTGTGAGATCATGACCTGAACCGAAGTCATATGCTCAACCGACTAAGCCACCCAGGTGCCCCTCCCCCCCATTTTTAATGTTACTACAGTTTGAGGTTCTGCCATACCTCAAAAGGTAAGATGACTTCTTTCTCTTCCTCTCACTCCTAGGTCTATTCCTGTCTCTACACTCTTGTCTTTCCCTATTGTACATCCTTTTGTTTTTCCAATCTACTTAGTCTAGTTTTTAGCCTTCACTTTGTTCAGGTTCAACTTACCTGTCCTCTGAGACCTCAGTGTATCTTCTACACTATTCTCGTTCAGCCACCAGAATTCCTACATATCATCTCCCAAATTATGTCTTTACCTAAAATTCTGATTCTTCCCACTCCCTCCTTCTCTACCTCAATTCTACCTGAAATTTAAAGACCATCTTAAATTCCACCTTCTTTTCCTTCCCAGCCAGTTCAATGCATGTAAAAAGTTCCTTTGCTGATTTGAATGCCTTCTTTAGCACTTACACTACTAATCTATGTTATGTATGCTTATATAGTTTATCTGTTCTCTCTCCAGTGAGATTTTGCTCTCAGTGACCCAGTAAAAGCACCAGCTCTTCCGTCTGCCTTAGTCCTTGGTCTGATTTGGCTGTTCCTGCTCTGAACTTCTACAGTATTCTGTACATGTATGTGACATGGCTTTCCACACTAAGCTGTTAGTTCTATATTTACTGACATTGGTACTAATTGCTGTGTTTTAAAAATATTGGCTGTAACTGCATATGCCCTTAGATAATTATAGCTTGTTTTCATAATATACTCTGACTATACTTCTTTAAAAAAAAAAACCTTCAAATTATGTCACTTTCTTTTTTTTTAAGTTTATTTATGTATTTTGAGAGAGATAGAGACAAGCAGGGGAGGGGCAGAGAGGAGGTGGTCAGAGGATCTGAAGCAGGCTCTGTGCTGGCAGCATAGAGCCCTATGTAGGGCTCAAACTCACAAGCAGAAAGATCATGACCTGAGCCAAAGTCATGCTTAACTGACTGAGCCACCCAGGCACCCCTCCTCTGACTATACTTCTTGATTTGTCTTTCCAAATACAGGCTCAAATTCAGAATAATGTTGGGACACCTGGGCGGCTCAATGGTTAAATATCCAACTTGGGCTCAGGTCATGATCTCACGGTTTGTGAGTTGGAGCCCCACGTCGGGCTCACTGCTCTCGGCTCAGAGCCTGCTTCAGATCCCTCCCCCATTTGCAGTCTCTCTCTCTCTCTCTCTCTCTCTCTCTCAAAATAAATTAAAAAAATTTTTAAATCAGAATGATGCATTTTCCCCCCATAAATTATCTTTGGCTTGGGGCGCCTGTGTGGCTCTAACCATTAAGCATCCGACTTTGGCTCAGGTCATGATCTCCCAGTTTGTGAGTTCAAGCCCCACATCAGGCTCTGTGCTGACAGCTTCAGATTCTGTGTCTCCCTCTCTCTGCCCTTCCCACTCGTGCTCTGTCTCTCTCTTTCTCTCAAAAATGAATGAACTTAAAAAAAAAAAA